TTTTTTTCTGTCATTTATTTTATTTTAGTGAAAAAATAGGTGGTTATGATATACAGATGAATTATAGGTATGAATTCTAGATACTTTTTTCTGTCCTTTAAGATGGAGGATGATTGATTTTTGAAATTGTAACAAATGAAATTAATTTGAAATCAATTTTATATAACAGATTCTTTTTTAGATTGCCAATTGTCTCATTATGTCTTTCTTAAAGATGTAAACTTATGGTAAAGAATATGAAAGAGGGAGAAAGAAAATGATAAAATTTAATAATATAAACTATTCTTCTTTTTTTGAAAAGATAGAGAGATTTATTAAGAATTGAACAGTGTAAATCACTTCCAATAACGCATAGATTAGTTTTGAAACTTTTGCAATTTTTGTATCAATTTTTGTATCAATGTTTTTTAAAATTTGATATCCATACTCTATTAAATTCATGGAAAACAGTGTTGCTTTGGAAACAATTATAAGTATTGATATTTATTTACCTAGACAGGACTGTCCATCAGGTTCAGTTTTGTATTGCCAATCGAGTTGGCTAAGCTGTAGATATCCGGCAAGCAGAGGAATATCAGAGATTTCCGTTTCGTCGCCGCCAGCCTCCAGAAGAAGCACGTTCCAATTTTCTATCTCAGACAGGCGACTTGCCACTACAGCTCCTACAGTGAAAGTTTAATAAAACTTGGTTGAAATTATATTTATATAATACAAAGTTGATAAACATGATCTATATGCGAAATGTGAAATTTTGTGGAAAGTGAAAGAATATTAGACATTAATAAGAAATATTAAACGTTACTTTTTATAAATTGAACGACAGACAAATGAAGTAAAAGGAAATACGTTGTATATTTATTAAAATAGACTCGAATATATTATTCTATTATCCAATATACTATTTCATCGTTTAATTTTTATCTCCTTGGACACGATTTTTGAAAAGAAACTAATTTTATTATATTTATTTCAAGAATTATGATGTCAACATACCTGCTGAACCAGCTCCCACCACGATAAAGTCATAAGCAGGCAAGAGCACTTCAGAGGGTATATTAATCGGTGGTGCCTCGTTGTCCATCACTTCGTACTCGAAATAAACGAGGGCTGCAGCGAGCACCGGAAAGAACCATGAAAGTCCGCTGGATGCCGAGGTCAGGCCTCCAGTTAAAACGCTCTCGATACCCATTCTTTTTTTTTTTCTTCTTCTTATCAATCAATCTGCAATATTAAATTTCATCAAATCATCATTCACTATCTTCAATCAAAACTATTCAATTATCATTCAATGATCAAAAATAAAATAGAAATCGAATCTTAGTAATTTATTTTTAAATCAATTTGTCAATTATTCACTTAATGTAGTCATTTAAAAAAATTTAATAATAAAACTGATCGAAAATAAAATAATATTCCAACCTCTACGTGAAATAAAATTGAAACTAAAAATTGTTCTCAAATAAATGTCACAATTCTTCGAGCACCAATTTTTTTTATTTTATTTTTATTTATCCAAACGCAGAGCCACGTCCTCGTGTTCATCCATGATGGATGACCGTCCCGAGCAAACGATCCCTCGATACTGTCGAACCTCGAAACGAGTTCGTAGCCACGTAGAAATCGATTAAAGAAAAGTCAAGAGGCTGTTGTACACGTGGTTTGATACGAGAGGAATATCAATGGCACGTGAAACTTTCAGCTGTTAAGTAATTCACCATTATCGCGGTCAGTACGGTCATGATGATCCTCACGTACATCCTATCGTCGAAATATTCCGCGAGCAGGGGAGATCCTGTGTCAATTTTCGCCAATTCGAATTTTGATTCGAGCACGTTTCGAAAATTATTTCTTCGATAAGGGACAAATTTTACCTCTTTCGAATTCGAATATTTTGATAAATTTTTTCTTTTTAGTTTATTTAAATTGCATTGTATTGTATTACATTATTTTTAATTTACCACGAATCGATGAAAAAATATTGAAAATATTTCTTGATTATTTATCAACGTGTCTCTGCCATATCGTGTAATTATTTATATATTTTTAAAATAAAAAAAAAAGTAATAATAATTAAAGATTCGAAGGAAAGAAATTTAAGGATAAAATTCCGCAATAGATTCGATTTGTCTATCCCTGACAAATAATTGTTGAAAATTCTATTAAAAATTTAATCATTTTATAACCAATAGAGAAACCAATTATATTTAACCATTATAATATAATGACACTACGATTATATTGCTAATTTTATGTATTATTTGTTTCAAATCATTCCATTGAAATTATACAATTATTAAACTAATCTATCATTTAAGTATATGTTTAATTCTATACTATATAAAGGAGGTCAGACCTATACAACCTATCATCATTATTATTTACATTATAAACTGCGGGTGTGATAATCACGTTTTCTTGTTTTTTATTGTTTTCTAGATTTCTGTGCCATTTTCTAATCTAAACTGTTTATAATTTAAAAGCCACGATTTCTATTCTTACCATAATTAGTATCATTATATTCATAAGAGTCAATTGTAACGAAAATTATATTTCTAGATTATGTTATATTATTATATAATTATATTTTAGATTAGATAAAAATTTACTTTGTAATATTTTTAACTTTCGTAATTATTGTTGAATTTTAACATATATTAATGTATAGTGGATGCTATTAAAAGCAAAATTAAACTCCAAAAGAAATAAAATTTTTGTGCAATAAAAATGAAAGAACAAAGAATATTTTATGTATAGCAATAATGTCGTTTATACTGGACTTTTATATTTTAGATTTTTAATTTTATATTTGGTAGAAATTGAATATGTTTGAAAAGGAAAGTAATACTTGCTCACCTACTTCTGAAGAGATAGCAAATGCAATACAATCTAGAAGCTTCTTTTCTTCTAAATAATCGATATACATGAAATTTTCATCACGACACTGCCTTTTTACATTAGCTACTAATCTTCTCTCACATAATTATATTGTACTTTACAATCTAATAGACTAGCTAACTAACTAAATAACTCGAACTTCTTCGAATATTATTCTTTCAATAATTAAACCATCTATTATAATTTTGCAACAGAAATAACTTTGCTCTTCGATCATAATTAATAAATTCTTCTTAAATTTTTGTTATCCAACCGTTTCTTCGTCGTTGACAACAAATTAATAAAACTCGACTTTTCTTCCTCTGTCATTTCACTTTACTCTCTTTGTAAAATTTCTCGAACAGTATGGTCCAAAATTTTTAAGAAAACACACTCCAAAATTACTACTCCTTTCAAACAATCGAACAGCCCATCCATTTTCAACGATTCAATATTTCTCCAATCATTTCCAAAAAAGAGAATTCAACTTATCAAATATTTTTCCACTATAAGTTTCACAATTTGTACAAAGGCATCACTTCACTTCCTTTTTTTCTTTCGTCAAATTCGAAGATAATTCTTTTTATAACAACTATAAACAGAAGGAGTAAAAAGTATAAATTTCTACAAGAAATATAAAGAAAACCGTGCTCGATCGAGTCATTTTCTTATAAAGGGAATAATTACAAATTTCACGTGAAGATGTTGGCGACCAGTTGACGTACGGTGTAACACTGACCACGACCTTGCTCTTGTCAGAAGTTTTCACATGGATTCATCGTAGTAGAGGAGCGCAAACAGGTTAACAATCTTTTCGAACGCGGTATAACGGTCCTCCGCTTCCTCTCTCTTCTTCGACCTCTCCTTCATCTCCGTTCTCTTCCTGCTCGCCGTCCCCGTAGAAACGAAACGTGGCGTGGAATTCAGAGGACGAATCACTCTCCGTGACCTCTTCATGTGCTCTATTTTTCGCCATTTTTTTTTCATCTCTCTTTTTTTCCCTTTTTTTAAATTATATAGATAGAGATGATTTTTTGAGTTTTTTTTTAATCTGAAAAAGATATAGAAAATGTTAAAAGAATGTAGAATCGAATAGAATTCAATAGTGTTCGAAGGACGAGGAATCTTCTTTATTTTTTTTTCTTTTTTGAATTAGACATATAAAAGCAAGAGATAAATTTTTAATTAGAATCTGAAAAAGATACAGAAAATATTTGAACAGTGGTACTTCAAATGTGCATGCTAGATAGAGAGTCAAATACGTATATAAAAATTAAGACTTATTTATTTAATTACAAGTAATTTAGTTTTGCTTTAAATGAAAATAGGACTTGAATTACCGTAATATACAAATGAAGATTTCTCAACGTGTACCAGTATCGAATTATAACGTATTCTAAACACGTGCACGAAACACGAACTCTTCCTAAAGTGACCAGTTCGTATTAATTTTGACGGTAAACCATTAATTTTTAAGTTGATCAAGAAATTTCAGACATTTTATATTTTCTCAAATTCCAATTTAAATAAATACAATTTTTCGATTATTCTTTAAAAATCAAAATTGATCAAAATTTTGAAATGGGCCAAAGTAAAATTTAGAAGAATAAGGATAAAAAATCGTCGATAACATTATAAACGTCATAAAATAAAAAATAAATAAAATAAATAAAAAAATTCTTGTTAATAAAAAAATCGTTGATAGCGGATTACGTGATACGCGTCACGTCCATGGTGAACGCGATGCCCCCCATTCGAGGAATTATTTCTTGACGTCATCCAGCTTACGGTAAAAGAGTTGGCGTCGCCGGCCTCTGTACAGGAACGTCCTACTTACCGTTGCAACACCATCGCGATTATGTATTGGGCTTAACGATCATTGAATCACAAATCGAATTGTGACAAACAATGTTTGAGGAAAAGTTGGTCTGTTGAATCATTTTGTTACGCTCGCATTACCGTTCAGAGTTTCTCAATTTCAGTGTTTCAACATTTTCTTACTAAATTGTTTCTGAAATTCTTTTTCAATTGGAAGTTAAAAGATATATTCGTATTTCGATTTTAACAAAAATCGCAAAATTAAAATTAAAATATTGTCTCTAAATTAATAAGTTGTAAATAAATGTATCATATGTTTCCATTTAATAAAATATGATTTTCTGAATATATATTTGACTTTAACACCCCTATTTCCACTTAGGCATCTTGCCTATTTCCGATGTTTTCAATTAATCCTTTAAATATTTTCTTACCATTTAATGACTTTTTTATTTGCAATAATACATTAAAATTATATCATTTTATACGTATCGAAATATTCAGGTTATTGATTCTCGTAATCCACATAATCTCCACTGAAAAACAATACATAATCTCTTTAGAAATTAATTGATTATATTTATGATTATGTTTAACCATAGTCTATTCTTATTCAAATAACATATAATAAAAATTGAATTTCAAAATATTTTTCAATTTGTACTAAATTTGTACTAAATTTGTTTTTCGATTTTCAGGAGGATGTTGCGGGTCCATGAAAAAGAGGACCATCGTAGGTGGTTACGCGTTCACGTGGTGGTTCGTAACCGACGTCCAACGATTATCTCTCGAGGTGATGACACTGAATCCTGTCTGTGAAAGCGTGGAAACCGCACAGGGAGTACCATTGACCGTCACAGGAGTAGCACAGTGCAAGATCATGAAGGCTGATGAACTCCTCCACACTGCCAGCGAACAATTTTTAGGAAAAAGCGTTTACGAAATCAAATCGACAATCCTTTCTACCCTCGAGGGTCATCTTCGTGCGATATTAGGTATATCTCTAGAAAGAATACTAAAAAAAGAAAAAAATGAACATGTTCGAACTATGAAAGTGTGAGACATCTATATAACAATTATTATCGCGTACAATGAATTGAAAGGCGTATTGAGCAATAAAGAAAAACGAGTATTTTTAGTTCTTATACAGTAGGTTCTTATACATAACAATGGCAAATGTCAAATTTAAATATTTTACAAAAGAATAATTTATTATTCTATTCACTACGAATAACAAAAGTTTCAAAATTACAATATTCTAGAAAGATAAATAAATAATCAAATTAAAGATTAAATGTAAAATGACTAACCGTTCTCACATCATTTCATAAGTGATTTAAAATATGTATTTGTCCAAAGTTCAATTATTTTATCTCAATTCGTCTCAAACCATATAAATAATTAAATTTCACATATATTCAATTCATATCTATTAAAAATATATAATAATAATAGCGTGCACATTTATGGATCGTAAAATAAAACATTCAAATCCGTCTCTTCCCTTTGGGATCCATGTTTCAAGTTACAAAATATGGCCGTTTATCTAAATAGGAAAACTATGGATAACTTTCAGGCACGTTATCGGTAGAGGAGGTGTACAAAGATCGGGATCAATTCGCGACACTGGTGAGAGAGGTAGCGGCACCAGATGTTGGTCGCATGGGGATCGAAATTTTATCGTTCACGATAAAAGACGTATACGACGACGTTCAATACTTGGCGTCACTTGGCAAGGCACAAACTGCGGCTGTCAAACGAGATGCCGATGTCGGCGTCGCCGAGGCGAATCGCGATGCTGGCATTCGAGTATGTTCACGTCTGAAAAATAATCTCGATTAGAATTGTGACCATCGATAATATCGACATGTTGTCGATAGGTCGATATGTCGATAATGTCGTTAAAAAATCGATAATGAAAATAAATATCGAAATTATTATTTATTAATATTTATATTTTTTGAACTTATTATTAGAAATATTATTAACAATGCATAAATCGATATTTTCGTGATATTTTTATAACTGTCAATAATATTTCTTTATTTCTTATATACAGTTATGGTAAAACAGTAGGAACTATAGTGTATCTATATCTAGTGTATCTATATCTAGTGAGAAACTAGAAAAATTTTAGGAATTATAATTATGGTATTTTAGTGAATTTTTTTAAAGTTCTATTTTCATTGCATTTTTGCAATCGTATGAAACTAAAAACTAGATTAAACAATGTAAAATATTTATATGAACTTAATTAATTAGTAAATGTTATATGTATATAGATGATTAAATACTCATCGATATTTATTTCATATTTCGTATAAAATTGATCAACAGGAGGCAGAATGTGAGAAAGCAGCGATGGATATAAAATATAATACCGACACAAAGATCGAAGACAATGCCAGACTCTTTCAACTGCAGAAAGCGAATTTCGATCAGGAAGTGAACACGGCGGTAAGTTACGCTCGAAAGATTCAATTATGATCGAATATTTTCATCAGAAGGATATATAGAATTTTAATAAAACTGATTGGATCGGATATATAGAAAGCAGAGGCACAACTGGCTTACGAACTTCAAGCGGCAAAAATAAGACAACGAATACGAAACGAGGAGATTCAAATAGAGGTGGTGGAAAGGCGTAAACAGATCGAAGTTGAGGAACAAGAGGTACGTCGAAAGGAACATGAGCTTCAAAGCACTGTGAGATTACCTGCGGAGGCTGAACATTATAAAATTGGCAAAGTAGCCGAAGGAAAGAGGTAATTTGAAATTCTGTGTATTGAATTTATGGAAAAAATATAGAAGATTAATCAATTTAAAATACTAATTAAAATAGTAATAAAAAAAATAAAAATATATAATTTTTGACTTAGCTATTTTAATTCATAATCTTTAAAACTTCTTAACCTCTTAACAGTAAATTTTTAATACATTCTAATTAAAATAATTTATTTATCCGTAAAAAAAAATTAGATTGAACTTAACTTTCAATAAAATCAAATCAATTTTCCTTGTTATTCTAAGCGTAGATATGTTTTAATAATTTCCTTATTTTTAGAACACAGACCGTGAACGCGGCTATAGCTGAAGCTGAGAGGATTCGATTGATTGGAACAGCCGAGGCTCAAGCATTAGAAGCGATTGGAGTATCAGAGGCTCAACGTATGCAGATGAAAGCCGCTGTCTACAAGAAATACGGCGGAGCTGCTATTCTGAATATTGCACTCAATGCTTTGCCAAAGGTGAGAGATCGTTCACTTGCTCGTGATAATCGTGATATTATCGTATATTATAAATTCGTGTATTATAAACGTATATTATGAATGTGTATTATAAGTTCTGACATTAATTTTATAAATATATCGGATTAAAATTTAAAAAAAAATTTTAAATTTTATATTTTTAATCAAATTTTTCAAACAAAAAAAAATAAAAATGGTATTATATTTAAAAAAAATAGAATATTTTTTAAAATTTATCCCTTTTCATATTATTAAAAAATACATAATAATACTTAATAATATATTTACGAACATACTATCAATTAATATGCTCCATTATTTCAGATTGCAGCAGAAGTGGCCGCACCACTAGCGAGAACAGAGGAAATCGTTCTTCTTGGTGGAAATGACGCGACTAGCGGAGAAATTACACGCCTTGTGGGGCAAGTACCTCCAGCTGTTCAAGCACTGACCGGTGTAGATATTTCAAAAGTATGTTTAAGAGGCCACCGGCCTCTTAGAAAGTGTATAAAGATAACGTTCGGTATCGAAAGTACTGTAGATTTAAATAAAAGTTACACGAACTTTCAAAGATGAAATATTTCAATTTCTCTATTGAGTATGAGAAATAGATTAAATCTAAATGAAATTGAAATATATCTAAGTCTATTGTAATTTTATAATTCCATATAGAATACTTTATAATTGTAAATGTATTTTATAATTCCATATAGAATATTTTAATAGATAGTAGAATGTAATAATTTATATTATTATAATAAGTAATCTAAAATTTTGAGACTTTTGCAGGCTTATATATTCTCCTATTGTTATGTTTAAAACTTCTTACATTAAAATATAACATAGAAGATAACATCATTTGATCCTTAAAAAATCCAGAATATTGACAAAATATTGAAACAAAATTCCTATTGAACACAACACTGTCACATTCAAATGTCCAAAGCAAGCAATTTTCTTACAATTTTCTCATAATTTAATATAATATCGCATTAACATCACATCTTTAAGCTTTTAGTTATTTTATTATATAAAACTTTAACATTATACAACGTTTCATTATTTAAATCATTTTCAGGTGTTAGGCAAGATACCAGGAGCAAAGTAATGGCGGAAAAAGCAGCAACGGCGACCAGACGATCGGATACTCGGAATCGGCTGAAGAAAAGAATAAACACTATACTGCCAAAGATTTCTCTGCTATTCTATCATCTACCAGTGACACTTCACTTTGTTCTCTTTCCCGAATTACTCTACCTCAAACGTAGATGAAACGACGCTAAAGTGAACCGATCAGATCGGTTATTCCTCCGCTACGAATGCGTCGATTTTAAGGCCGATCATATACATATGACATAAACTCAATATCTTATCTTTCATATCACATTATATTGGATCACTACAACGCACATAATCTATTTCAACTTCATCATAACTCATGCACGTTCATTTTTCACGTGCATTGTTTTGAAGATTTTTTGGATCCTACTGAATCCTTCTTAATAATTGAACTTTAATCGATGCAGTCTATAAATTATAATATAGAAAGAAAGAAAAATGTGGAAGAAAGAAATGAAGAAGATGAAACAAATCGGCAAGCAACAAAGAAGAATTTAAAAGAAGTTTATGGAAAATCGAGTACACACGTATATCGCTAATTATTTGCGAGTTAACTATTGTGATTGAATACTGTCAACAATTGTGTTCAACTTCATAAATAAGAAACTTAACCAAGAGGATGGTAAAAAAGGGAGAAGATGATGAGACACGTTCGTGCGGAGTAGGCGTGAAATTAACTGTCCATAGTTACAGTTGTACATACTAGTTACGTGTGTGTTATAGCAACTGGAATTTCTACCTTGCTTATATCGAGACGTATCAAATGAGGAGAAAAATATTGATTTTTAAATGTTTGAAAAAATTGAATATATTGCAATTTTTTTGTTACAGTTTGAAAAACTTAAAATGAAATCATATTGAATGAATTTTGATAAGATATTTAAATTAGAAATAGAAATTCACACATAAGAAAATTCCAAGTTAAATGATGTTCATTCACATTCAAGAGACTTTGCTTCTAAGGAAAGTGAATTTCTATGATCTTACTTTCTAATGGAATATACCCAATGTACAATCACTTTTCTAAATTGCATTGCTATTGCACTGCATGTATTTTCAATATACTAATTCTTCTATTGTATTTATTGTTTATATGCAAATATTAGAATAAGATGAATTATCAATCATTGCTCAATATATTTCAGAACATTTTATTAAAAATTTAGAACTAATTTCAATAATGAAATTTTTTAATTCAATTATTCTTTTTTCAAAAATAACTTATAAAAACAATTATGAATGTAACGCTATTCCAATAATCAAAAGAAAATTCTAAAAATTATTAGAAAAATTCGATTATTCTCGTTTGATACGTATTCGCATTTGAAATTCTCTCGGTTGACCACGCATCGGAATCAATCGCATTCCCGCCATCAAAATGTACTCTCCAAACCGAAGAAAGTGCCAATCAATTTGTAAATACAGTATCGTCTTGCCGCCGTATAGCAGAACAAATGATAATTTTCTATTGCGCAATGAGCATTCTGTTGTGTTGCACCTGTTTTCCCGATTCGGTTCGCAATAGTGCTCGCATCCAAGCATTAACTTCTATGATGATTTTTTGCTTTAAAAAGAATATTCGAGTTCTACTGCGCGAAAAGGATGTCCATCTCGACATCACGATTACGATGATTAAATCGTAATAATAAAACTATGATATCGGGCGTCGCCGAGTACAAATTTCATTGTCCTGTCCCGGTATTATATTTAATGTTCCCAAATAATAGTTAATTAGAAGGAAAAGAGAGATTGGTTTGACGATTTTTATTTTGTTCAATAGAAACAAAAAAAAAAGAAAGAAAAAAAATAATTTATAATAATAAGAAAATTCTTTAAGAAAAATGTTATTTTTCTTTTTTTTTTTTTTATATATTTTGATATAATTTTTGTTAAAACTAAAATTATTTATTTATTTATATCTTATTTATATTTATATTTATTTTATATTTTTTAATTTATATGTATATATATAATACTTTATATCTGTATAACAAATCTTCAAACCAAAGATTACAGAAAGTAAAAAAGAGCCAAATTCTAAAAGGGAAGTGCATGGATATTGCCATTTGTCGCCAAAGTCTTCCCAATTAATTAATTAACAAAAAAAAAAAAAAAAGAGAAAACAAAAAAATGAGAATGCATAGTACATTTAGAGCAGTACAAAAAAAATGACAGAAAGAACTAATTTCAAAATGCACTTATATTCAATAAAAAGTTAAAGAATGAAAAGAAAAAGAAAAGAAAATTATTAAAGAAGTCGTAATCCGTAAGTTCAAGGTCCATGTCTATATAGTATTTTTATTATAATAAGAAATCGAAGCTGTAAATGCTAATTATATAAAATAGAAAAAAAAAAAAAAAAAAAAAAAAAAA